CCAGAAATGAACAGTTCTTAAGTTTTAAGCTGCGTGCTGTTCTGAGTGGCGCCGTGAAATCTCAGGCCTTGCATCCTGACATCACGAGATGGGTGAGCACAGAACAACAGGTTATCTTGAGGGAGGGGGAGAGAGCGAGCGAAGGGCCACGTTCACACGACTGCATCTGTCGCTACAACTTCTACTTTACTAGCGTTGTTGTTAATCTCTTACTATGTAACTTGTAAACTAAACCTTATCACGGTGCGCACGTCTGGGGAAAACACAGCATATACAGGATCTGGTACTCCCTCGGCTTCAGGCATCCACTGGGGGTCCCGGAAGGCACCCCTGCAGTAAGGTGGGGGGACTAGTGTCCACAGAATTTAGAGAGAAAATAACACAGAAAAATGCCCTGCGTATTATAGCTCCTGCCGGTGTCGTCCCACATTTACTCTAGGGGAGCTTCTGCAGAAGAAGGAAGGAGGAAGATCAGCAGGACTTTCCCTTTCCCAGCCTCGCTCTTCCCTCCCAGTCCCAGGCTCCCTGGCTGGAGTCCACATGTAGCAGCCTGCCCGGGGAAGGAGGGCATGGGGGCCGGCTACAGCATGGAGGTGGCAGCCTGCACCCCCAGCCAGAGGAGCCAGGGACGGGCCAGCCTCTCCCTCATCTAACTGCTGCAACACCCTCCCCGTCATCCTCCGCTCCCTCCCGAGACAGGGCCTCTTGCCAGTGCAGGTATCAGCACCCGGGTCAGCCTTCCCACTCCTGTGCCCCCGCTTGGGGTGACATCAGTGCCCCAGGGGACACGGACCTCAGTTTCTTGAGCTTGTCAACTCCGGTGACCTCGCCTTCACCCCACTCCTGCCACTCTCAGTTTGGCCAGGCTGCAGACCAGAACCGCCCACAGTGGCCGGCTTCGGAACCCTAAGCGAAGACAGCCAGAGACGCCCCCTGTGCTCCAGCCTGTGCTCTCCGCTCCTCTGCTCTGCCTTCCTGCACACCAGCCCCGCCTAAGCCCCTGCCTCAGAGGAGACTCCGCGGCCCAACCTTTCCATCACTCCCTCACCCGTGCGGCAGACCGCCTGTCCCTCGGCCCTTTACCCCGCCCACCAGTGCAATCCACGGCCTGGAAGGAGCCCACAAGCCTCCCCGTTAAGCCGCACGCCCCTGTGGCCTTCAGAGCTGGGGGAAAAGCAGTGCATAAAAATCACAAATTGGTGTCACAATGAATTCCCGTCACCACACACACACACATCACATTCTGGATATGGAGAATTAGAGTCCCCTTTAATTCTGGAAATGTCAATGAGAAATCTTTTAGCTCATGTTTCAAAGGGCCAAGAAACTCCAGCTCTATGAGCCCCCGGACCTCCCTGCTACTTACCTTAGACCTCAGATACCTCGAAGGGCTTTTGATATCAGCATTCAGGTGCGACACGTGAATCAGTCTTTCAACTCCAGCTTCCTTGGACACTTGAGCAATTGCTTGGGGAATCTTCACAAAAACATCCTCAAAATCAAAGTTTCTGGAAGAAAAAACAGGGATCAGTTCAGATTTGGGATTTCAAAGCTTTTTGTGATGAGCTGCTTTTCGCACCATTGCTGGAATTCATAAGTATTACTTCTAAATAGCAATTATTTAACCCAAAGTCACACCAATAGGTTTTTAAAAAATTTTACAGGCTCTGCTCACTGTCATCACCGTATATAATTTAAGGCTTACTCCAAGTTACAGATCAGCATGTATACTGGTCTCTGCCCTCAAGGCCGAGGACCTCTAAAAACCTCTGGCTGCACTGGCTGGGTGGGGATGGGGAAGCGTTGGGCGCAGGGAGTGGAATCACCTCTTACCCCGGGCCTTCATTTCCCTCGGGGGAAAAAAGGAAACTAAGAAATACCTCAGTCACCAATTTACTCCAACATCACAAACTAAATGCCAGCTCTGTGCAAAGCACCGTGGCAGTCGTCACAGGGGATATGAAGTTGGATTAGACTCTCCAAGTCATCAAAGAACTTAAAAGTGTGGGATGCGGCAGACACAGCTGAATAAATCTAAGTCAAACTTCCCTAAAACCTCAGAAAGAGGCGTGAACACAGGGCTGTGGAACCACAGGATTAAAGCATCATTTGTTGATAAATGACCCTCACAAGGACTAAAAAGAACTGCTCAGATCGGTCCTCACGCCATCTTTGATTAACAATGTGAACAGATCTAGGACACTGTCCACATGAGGAAAGGCAACGTTCAGCTTGCTGGTCAGGAGAACAGGCAAAACCCTGCTCCGTAACCCATCCCAGCCCGACACACCCAAGCACAGGGCCACAACGGTGGCCCCAAAAACACGACGACACCACCACACCGGCTTTCCACGCACAGCACGTCACACTGCTTGCTCTTACTAGACTCGCTGCCAACTAAATCCTTGGCTGGAAGGGGGCTGCGGGGGCAGCGTGGTCACTGGGTGTGAAAAGGTTGTTCAATCAACACTCACTGATGGACCTAACTGAAAATGTCTCAAGTACAATCCTTTACATGCCCAATCAATGTCTACTGAAGCCTAAGGCTGCTTTGCAAAGAGGAAACGAGAGTCCAAGACGTACCTGGTTTCCCATTCTCGCCCCACAAGGTTGATGACCACGTTGCTGTGCTCCACGGCTCTGCGGATAGAATCCTTGTCTCTCCCGTCCCACTCCTGCAACAGCAGCAGCCGGTCACGGGAGAACATAGGGGGGCACCCGGCACGAAGCGCGACTGCGGGCCCACCCCAGCAAGGTTCCAAACAGGCCAACCGCTGTTGGCGGAACAACGTGGCACCGTCTGGACCAGGTCCACTGGTTACGACAGAAATGACCCTGAGTCTCAGTTGCCCTGCTGATTCTCTGCTGCTTCTGGAGACAAAGAGGTCAAAGCACATTTTATTCAAGTAATCAAACGACAGAATTAGGAAAGACACAGTTTCCTGGGGCAGAGCAATTTTTGTTCAGCCAACTACCGCCAAAGTCCGTAAAGGAATCTAGTGATGAAGTCCTTCCTGGAGGAAACACAGCCAAAGGCCCAAGGATCGCCTGGGAGGTAAAACCACTTTCCCTTTTCAGCAGCAACCAGTTAGACTGAAGATAAGGGGAGGGTCTCTTAGAGGCTGAGATTAAATTGGGAACATTCATAGTTACTTTCTTATTTCTTTGTAACTCTTCACTCTTTATAATCCCGGATCTAGTCGTTTCTACTTTAAGGACATGAAAACAACACTCAGAGGGAAGCGACCTGCTTACCACGTCGGCGCAGTAGAGAGCACGTGCCCAGCACGCACGAGGCCCCTGGGTCAACCCCCAGTGCCTCCTTTAAAACCAAACAAATAAAATAAACCTAATTATCTCCCCCTCCTGAAAAAATTAAAAATCTGGGAAAAAAAAAAAAAGACTAGGTGGCCAACAACGTAAGGCACAAAGGACTAGGAAAAGGCAAGCCCTCTAACTGTAGCACCAGGCAGCTTGTGGGGAGTAAGAGCCTGGGAAAGAAAAACACGCTAGAAACAAGAGATTTCCAATATAAATATAGTACTTAGCTGGGGAACCTTCAGTAAAAAACAAGTGAAAATGCCGTTAAAAATAGGTCAAAATTAAAGAGACTGCAAATAATGCGCATGAACACGATGGAGATGGTGAGGATGTTCACAGACATTTTTCAGAAGAGGGCAGTGTGTCAGCGGAGAGCTCAGGCCCACGCGGGCCGACGAGAGTCAGAGAAGTCAGCCAGGGGCAGGGCAGACCCGCGCGCGGCGCCCGGCGCGCCCCTCGGTGGGGAAGCGCGGCTCCGGGGCAGCGGAACCCTCCGTGGAAAGGGGCCACCCTGCAGGCCACTCGGCACCCCGGCCCCTACGCGGTACACCTGTGTGGTCTCCGGTCACGGTGACAGCCAAAAGGGCCCACACCTTTCAATCACTCCCCGAAGGCTCCCCCACCGCAGGCCCCCCATCCAGAGGAAGAACCTGCGGTTCGAGGCTAACACCAGTGAACACTCAGGAAGGACAATTCCACGTCAAGGCTACGCCAAGCCAGCCAAGTCAGACACCACCCTCTGTGCGGTCCTGTCTGCGGAGGCACTGAACCACAGAAACACCACACGAGGCACATACGTCAATCTGAATCTTCTCTCAGCCACGTTTGAAAGAATAAAAAGAAACAGGTGAATTTCACTTTAATAATACACTGTCTTTAAGCCACTATATCCAAAACACTGTCTCAATAGGTAATAAATGTAAAAACTCATTAACGCTATGCTGAATGTCGTTTTCTTTGCACTAAGTCTTGGAACTGCGGTATGTATATGACACAGCACACCTCAGTTCAGACCAGCCTCACTTCAAGTGCCCGAGAGCCACGTGTGGCTGGTGGCTACCAGGCAGCACAGGTCTAGAGCTGGGGCTGGCGAACTGTGACCCACAGGCAACTCTAGCCTGCGATCTACCTTTGTAAATAAAAGCTGTATTAGCACACAGCTGCTCCCATCCGTTTATATATTGCCTACGGCTGCTTCTAGGCTGCGGGGCAGCGCTGAGTGACCACGACAAGGCCCCCACGGCCTGCAGAGCCTCAGACACTTCCTACCCGGCCCTTACAGGAAAGTCCGCCAGCCGCTGACTGGCGTTTACATGGACGGCCCGTGAGCGGGGGATGCCCGTGGTGCGCTCTGGGAGGAAACCGCGGCTTTACTGTACTCCGCCCTCTCCAAAAACCGAACTTAGTAAGTTACACTTGTCAACTCCAGAATCAGTAACACCAGCTCTTACCAGAAAGAGAATCTGGCCCAGGTCGCCCATGGGACGAAGGTGCATGGTATCATATGGCTCACACCGGTAAGGTACAACCACCTGTGACCCCATGCGTCCTAGAAAGGAATGGATTGAAGCAAGGATCAATGTTAACACAGCGTGGATATGCTATGTGACTGTGATTTGGTAAATATTTAAATTCTAGCATGACACGTGAATCGCATTTTGAATGTTTAGCAGAAAACACACTTTGCCCAGCTAGAGATGCCATAACTTTTCAGGGTCCCCTATACCTGTGTCAGTGCCCTTACAGGAAACACGGGCATGCTCACAGTGTACAGCAGGCCAAAATTACACAAACCCAAGAGGAGAGCAATTCATAATACCGTTAAAATGAAAAGAAACACAGCTTAAGGCTTCTCATTAGGCTACCATAATAAATGGCACTGGAGGCTCCAAATTCAGGGAACTCTACCCACCGAGGTGGTTGACGACATAGCGGCCCAGGTATCCTGTGGCTCCAAACACAGTGGCCACGATCCCACTGACTGAGGAACGGCCACCCTTCCCATGAGGTGTGACTGCATGATGGAGCCGGCGCCCAGGGGGGCTGCTAAACACACATGTAGCTACTGCAGTGATCGAAGGACCTGCGAGAAAAGCCCAGAGCATACAAAGATGGCAAATGTTAATATACAAGTGACTGTGAATACAAATAGCTTCTCTTCCTAGAGATGTAACATTATTTTCCTACAGTATTTTCATTTACTTAGATTACAGTTTAAATACAACTTTTAAGTTAAAAGTTACCATTTAAATGCCAACAGCAACAATAAATACAAATTACTGCAACAAAGAATCAATAGGACATAAGGAAATGTATAAAAATTAGAAAGTAAACTCCTTGCCCTATAGGATACAGTTTACCTAGAAAGACAAATCACGTTAAGAAAAATAATAATAAGTTACAAATGTCGAGAGTATAAACTTCAACATGAAAGGAATGGAGACAACGCAAAGTAAAGGAGCAACAGGTTAGAAAATCATGAGGACAGAATCCTGAATAAGGTGTGTTGAGAAAGGTTTGAAAGAGTATTAACAGAAAAGATCGATTTCCACGTGGAACATGTGCTACATCTAACAATGCAGAGGTGGGAATAAGCCCAGTGCAGGGAACAGCAAACGACTTCCCTGGAACAGACTGACACTGATGATGAATGAAAAATAAAACTGATGACATGGATTGGAGGCAGAGGTAAGAGATTACTTTTTTTTGAAAGAGTGCAGTTCAGACTTAATACAAAACTCCTGAAAATCATCAAAAGTAGGTAAGCAAGTAACTCAGAAAGTAAGTCTGCGTCTGTTTTCTAGGGATGACTTTCCAGGGGCACTCTACCCAAAACCATTGTTTTCCCCTTTCCAAAAGTGTGGAAGTGGAGGAAAAGCCTAGTTTACCAAATCGTTACTGAAACCAAAGATTGAAAACAAACATCACAGATTAGACACACAATAAAAACAAAACAACATATAAGTAACAGCTAAACTTACAAAGGCACCTGGCATCTTTCTTAGCGCTTAATAGGTACTATCTCATTTAATGCTATCTTCAATGCCACTTTACAGATGAGGCAACTAAGGCTCAGAGAGGTGATGTGACCAGCCCAAAGAGCCAGCAAAGGAGACTGACAAGCAGCCCAGGGAAGTAAGAGAGAAAACAAGAGAGAATGGTGCCCAAGAAGCCAAATGAAGAAAGTGACTGATGGAGAGAGCAGTGACCTTGATCAGACGCTGCTGAAAAAGGAAGTAGGAGGAGGGCAGAGGCCCCGAGGACCTAGACAATGTTGGCTGTGAACGTCCTGGACCAGTTTCACTGCAGCAGGAGAGCGAATGGCTGACTACAGCAGACAAAAGAGGGAGGGGGAGGCAGGGGGCACAGAAGAGGAGTATAGGAAATTCTTCTCAGGTGATATGAGGTAAAGGAACAAAGAAAAAGGGGACGAGAGGAACAGGAGGACCAGGATGGGTTTTTTTACATGCGATATTTATATTTATAGGCTGGTGGAAACAACCCCATAGAGGGTTAATTATGATGATTCAGAAGTGGGAATGACGAGGTAAGGGAGGATGGGATGGAACGCCAAGTGAGGGAACTGGCCTTAGCTCAGAGCCGGAGGAGCTCACCCACTGAAAGAGGGAAAGCGGGGAATCACAGTCACCCCAGCTCAGCCAGCAGATTTTTATGGTGGGAAAAGACTCTTCCCATCCAATTCCTTTGAGTCTCTGTAACGCTGAGAACGAGGCAGAAGCTCATGTCAGAAGTCGTAGGAGACTGGCAATGTTAAATAACCACACGGAGAAAGGGAAAGCAAATTTCCTAGGAAAATGTCCTGCTGACAGTCTACCTGAGATCCGTATTCGTGAATTTAAAATAAGGACAGTCAGTTAGTTTGGAGTTTTCCTTAGCTCAGCTCTCCACGGCCCGGGGCAGGCAGAAAATACGTGGAAAGCCAGGTTTAATCAGCACTGATTTTTTTATGACAAAGGGATAAGGGCTGGGGAGTCGAGAATGTATGAAAGGGGATGATTAGAATGATGAGTAAGGAAGTCAGGGCACAGGATAAACGACAGAGTAAATGAAATGGGAAGAATTACTGGAGTCCAGGTCTGAACAACTCCAAGGACTGTTGTGAGGAAGAGAGTAAATGTGCATAAAGCATTTAGCACGTTGCCCAGCACACATGAAGCACCCCATGAGGACTAGTTGCTTTCCTGTTATTACTTCAAAACTCCTCAGAAGGTAGTTACACTGACCTCCCACGGTTATTTGTTTTTTCAACAATTACGAGCCAGGCACTATTCTAGAAACTGTGAGCAGCATAGTAAAAAGACAAAGCCCCTGGCCTCACGAGCTTACATTTTAGAGGGTTATGAAAATCAGTAATAAATAGGTAAGCACCTGTCACAGTGCCTTGCACATGGTACGTCCTCAGTAAATATAAGTTATTACTCTCTTTGGCTCCAGGCTCTCCACTTACTTCCATTTATTATGAACACCATTAGGAGAGTAATATTCTTTATTCATTATATTCCTGTGCTCAAAAACCTACACTGGTCTCTTGCTGTAATATTCAAACCAACAGTCTCCAAACATATGTGCTTGCACACTGCATTAGGGTTTTTATAGTATTTATTTGTAAATTACATACATATTCCATTAATACCAATGTCATGTGCAACACACATTAAAGCACTCACAACAGTTGTCTGGTCTATAGTTTGAACTATGTATTAGCCATTGTTACTATTACAGAAAACTGGTTTTTTTCTTTAAGTTCTAATACTGATTTTTTATACACCATTGGTTCCTCTTGTAAAACCCACTTTCAAGACCACTGGTCTAAATCCTGCCTGCCTCTCAAAGGCCTCCATTATTTGATCCCATTTACCTTATTCGACCTCCTTTCCTACTATTCCAGATCTGCAGGTAGTCATTTCACTGCTTCCTAAGAACTTCCCGCCTCCATTCTCATCCCCTTGTCCTTGCCAGTGCCAGGAAAACGTCCAACCTCTCTGACTTTCCAGATTATAATAACCCTTTAAAAAAAAATCAGTGGAAGTGCTGTAATTCTCCACTGGTCTTTCACACCTCCCTCCCTACTTTAAAGGATCTAGTCTTTCCCTTTTCTGAATTCCTATGTAACTCAGTCTCTCCACATTTCACCATATATGTTTCACACAGTTCTGTTTTATAGTGTTTTGTTACACACTAGACTTGCCTCTGCAGACCTTACTCAAAGGCTTCCTTTACAATAAAGCAGAGTGGTTAAGTGCACGAGCTATGGTGTCAGTTAAGGGAAAAAAAGTGAGTTAAAGGAAAAAAAGTATGAAAATATCTAGAACTGTGGTTAGCAGGGAGCAGGTACTCAATCAACAGCAGGTATTATCATTCACAACCTACGTTAGGTGACACCAATGTAACAGTTTAACAAGAACCAGCAAATGTCTTTGCAAAGAAGTCGTGGCTACAAAACCATCTATTATAAATGGATATGCACCAAGCACCTTCCCAGTGGCCTGCAGGCGCTCTATCCAAGACGGAAAATTAAAAAGGATCCTCCAAGTACCCCTGACTCTCACCTCAGGCTGAATATCAGAACTACTTGTGGAGCTTTTTAAAATTTAAGGTGCAAGGATCCAGTCTCAAAAATTCTGATTCAATAGCCCTGAAATGAGTCCCCATTTCTAAGTTTTATAAAGCTCTAAGAATGATTCTGATATGTGGCTAATTTTGAGAGCAAATGACATTCTGTAATGACTAAAATACACTATGGAAAAAATACAATTTTTGGAGACTGATGGGGGGGTATGCTTGTAAAGGAGAAGAGGGTGAAAGAATGATGATGGAGTGTAATAACTGCATTCCCAATTTCCCTGCTTTTCTAGCCTCTCTCTTAATGAGTGGAGGAGCAACCTGTTTTTTTCAATTTGAGCACCATAGCAGATCCAATCAGAACAGAAGGGAAAATAAACTACACTTAGACAAATCCTACGATATTCCCTTATTCTTCTTCCTTTTCTTTCCACCAGTCTCCTGGTTCTTCTCCCTCCCCCCATCCCACCCCGGAGCACCCTTGGTTCCCCAGGTCCCAACGCCTCCACAGAACACGCTCTACATTTGCAAAGATGCTCCTGACTTAGAGAAGTGTTTTTTATAAATACCGCTTCATTTAATCTTCTCAGAAACTCCCTGCGTTGTGGTATTATCACTTCCACTGTGATACGCAGAATCCGAAGCTGAGACCGATTAAAGGTTGTCACAAGGTCATAAAGTCAATCCACGAAGAACTTTTTGTCCAATATCCTTTTCTCCAGCCCTCTCAGCTTCCTCCTCCGTCCCCCCAAATATTCCTTATAACCCCAAGCCCTTACAACCCTCTCGACCCTTTACTTGTCCCCCATTTTTCTCTTTTCGTGGTGTTGCTCACGTTCTCCCAGCGAAGACCCCTTCCCAAGGGCACAATTTAATATGCGAGCCGGGGAAAGGAGGAGAGGAGAAACCGGACAGAGGCCGCTCCGGGCCCAGGAGAGCCGGGGTGCGCAGGGCGTCAGGCGGCCGCTGCAGCACGGAGCCGCTCCCGAAACTCAGCTCCGCATCTCGGAAGCCCGACCCGGGGCCGCCGTTCCCGCTGACACTTACGTGACATTGGCAGGGCCCGGACGACCCGGGGGCGAGCGGCGGCCGCCATCTTCTCCCACAATCCCCCGCCGCCGGCGCTCGGCGGACTACGGCTTCCACGCAGGGTCAGAAGTCATCGTCCCGGGCCGTCTGCGCAGGCGCGAGCCCGGGAAGGAAGGGGCGGGTCGGAGGTTGCGCCCGAGGTGGGGCTTGGGAAGCGGGGGAATAGGAAGAAAGGAGTCTTGGAGTCGGACTCCCAAGTCTGCAGCGGACCGTGAAGATAACCTCCTGCTGTGGAGCAGCCTGAAGTTCAGAGCGAGCCGGTGACCGACTCGAGGGCTTGCCTGCAGAATGGTGGAAGCGCGCTGCTCGGGCGCAGCCCCCCCGACTCTCAGCTCCTGGTTCCCTGAGGATGTCAGCCGGGGCGCCCCGGAGAGGCCGGGGCCGAGAAGGCGTGGCCCCTGGGCTCGGGAAGCTCCTCAGGGAGAAAACAGGGGCCCGGGGGCCTGGAGGGGGCGGGGACTCGGAGACCGACGTGAAGACGAGAAATAGAACCGAGGATGTGCTCCTTGTCCGGCCGAGCGCGCTCTGTCCTCGGAGCCTTGGCTCTTGCTGCTCCCTTGTCCTGGCGTGCTCACCAGCTCCAGTCTGCTCGTGGGGGACCCCCGAGACGACTTCTCTGGGCTCTCACATAATTCCATCTGTCCTTTAATTAGTGTAATTTATTAAAGCCCTTCTCTCACCACCTGACATACGAACCCAGGGATCCTGACTCGGACTGCGATCCAGGAGTGGGCTTCAGGAAGTCTGTGAGCCTCCTGGAATGTCATGTGAAATTTAGCGGGGGGGGGGGGTGCCCTCTGAACACTTATCTAGGAAGAAATTCAGGATGGCTCTCTCTAGAGCGACGGTTTGTAAGTTTTTGGGTTTTAGTTTTTGACCGTGGATCCCTTTGACAATTTGCATTGTCCAGAAAGTAGTATCTCGAGCTTGCGGAAATTCCGGAAAGATTAGGTAACCACTTGCATTTTTAGATATTTTCTTCGGGGCAGCCTCCCAAGATGCCTGAGTAGGAACAGAGACCAGTGACTTGTTCAGAGACACCTACTTTGGGCTTATCAGAAAACAAACCAGTTTGAAGGAATCTTTTTAGACTTGGTCCTTTCTTCAGTGCTGTGCATTTTCAGGAAGAATGGAGTGTGGATCGCTTGGATGGACCAAAGACACGTAGTAAGTAGAGGTTGCATGTCACTAGTCTTGTAAGATTGCTTGTTCCCACTGCACCCCAACCGCCGTTTGGAAAGTGTCATCTACCAAAGTGAATTGGAAGAGGAAAGAAACACTTAAAGAAACGTTATCAGAGAAGTTTAATAATGCTGTGCTTTCATATTTCTTGGCCACATCCTGTATTCATCCAGCACTTACATTTCGCTCTTTGATTCTGGAGTCAGTATGAATATAAACATACTTTCTGGGGGTCTGAGAAATTGACAGACCCCATTATCGTTAGCAACACCCTAACTCCAGTGTAATATTGCCAGTTGTGTTACATCTCCAAGTCAGACCGTGCCTCAGGTCCTCAGCACTGGTTTCACGGAGGCATGATACTGTTGAAAGCGCATGGGCTTAAAACTGCCTGTCCAGCAGTTCTGAGCTGTGAGCCGGGTAAGCTTCTCCACCCATCTCACGGGGAAGTCACAGCTGTCCTGTTACCTCAGAAGGTTGTTGTGAGGGTCAGATGACATGGAGGTGAAGGTCAGCTGCCAAGTGCTGTGTGCGTGTACAGTTCTATTCGAATACCGCTGATAACCTCACAGTCATGGAAGGTCAGAGCTGGAAGGGGTCTTAGGAGATTGACAAACCCAATTTCTTTATTTTAAAGATAAACTGAAACATAATATAACAGATGATCAATAGATAAATACCCTTGTTGAAGAAAGCTTGTAGCAAACCAGTCAGTCCCTTTTGAATTCAGTAACGATTATAATCTTTATCTTATGGCTTTGCTCAGAGATTCATTCGGAGCACCTAAGGTAACATTCCAAAGAGGATGTGCTACTAATAAAGTCCTCTTTAAGCCTAGAAATTGCCAACCGAATGCTTTTTGGTCTGGTTAATCTCAGTGCCGTTCCTCAGATCAAGAATTGCAGAGGATGGATTCGTGCCGCGATCTCTCTGAGACCGTCTAAGATCAATGATAACCCAGAGATGCTCAGTTTAGGCAAAATATTTCAACATTTTTTTTTAATAAAAGGGAAGATGCTTATAATTAAGAGTCCAGGCTGAATCCCACAGAATGAAATATTCTATGGGCTTTGCATAAAAAATTTTGGTAGCCCCTCATTTCTTTGATTTCTTACTCTCCGCACCCATCTGGGTTTGTTAACACATGATACGTACTTTGTTGTTTTGAGTGGAATCCATTGGCACAAGCTCCCCCTCCCATATTCCCTACCAAAACGAGACACTTAAATGAGAAAGTCAGTCTGGAGAAAGTAAACCCAGTTCTTCCAAACTAAGCATCAGCGCCTCGGAGGGTGTCTGCTCCCCTCCCCTGTCCTTTGACCGCTCAACTTCTGTGGCCTCAGCACTGTTGCTATAGAGACAGTGAGCTCACCAGCTGGGATTCTGACGTCACTCTCCAGTCCCAACAAGGGGGAGGTGCATGGAAGGCGGGGGGAGGAAACAAGATCTTGAGCTGAGCAAGAACATCCCAGCGTCTTCATTGACTTTAAGAGGATATTCTGGAGTCTTCTGTGGTTTGCTCTTCCAGTGCTGCAGAGGTAGGGGATCCCACTGAATGGATAAAACCTCTGTGGTTAAAAGGGAGAGTTCAGTGACAAGTGGTGGATAACTTCTACTGTTCAACCTAGCCTCCCTCTTTGCCTAGTCAACTTTAATTTTACACCAGAACCTTTTGGAAATAAGTGAACCTCTCCCTCAGTAGCATGGCAGCCAAACCTACATCTTTGCTGTTGGAGTTTTCATTTTGTTGGGGATTGACCAGACCTCCTTGGCCATCCTCTCGGGGACATGAGAGGGTCTAAGTCTTTGCTTCCCAATTTGACGATGAGACTGGAAGCTTGCAAACCTGCTGGCTTTTCCTTTTCATGTGTGGCTGTTCCAAAAGTAGTTTTGTTTGTTTTCCTAGTGCTCTAATTGCAAAATCAGACTAGAATAGCTGAGTCCTGATTCTTATCTCCTTTCAGCCTCACAGTGTTATTTCTGAATCCTCGGCTAGGCGACAGAGAGCTGGGAGAAGGCAGGGTGTATGCAGCTATGGAGAGAAAGGGTCTGCACTGTGGGGCCTAGAGGAAGAAGTCATTTATGGGGGAAAGTGAAACGATGGAAGACTTGCAGTGAATGGTACCACGGAGAGAAAGAGACACACACACCTTTTTTTATTTAAACAAAATCATATAAAATTGATTTTATCAACAACCAAATTTATTGTCTACACTAGACACTTAGAGAAAGGGAGTGAGAGAGAAAAAAAGAACATATCAGAATACATCCTTCCTTTTTAAAACTAGTAATAAAAATTGGCTGAGTAAACTTCAGAACTTGGTCAGGTATATATCATGATCAGGTGTGTATCTCCATGTATGCTGCCTGTGATTTGGGTTTTTCTGTGAGTTTAGGAACCTTGAGTAAACAGGAGCTCTTGCCATGACAAAGATGGAAGACGTGTCTCGAGATGGAGCTGTGGTCTGGGGCACAGCGCCCGTAGCCAAGCCCCTGTGTTGTTTACGCACACCCCTCCCCAGCTGGCATTTAAGATTTGCACTCAGTTATTGAGGTAAAAATCACGTTGCCATTTTTAAGGAATATTTTAGGTCCGCCTTTCTGTTGGCCTCAGGATCCCTCTACTGGCCATAGAAAAATTTTGTAGTTTCCGAAGTGTTACCCTGCAGAGCTGTAATATTTCAAGGACTGTCTACTGGTCTTAATATTCCCTTCCTGGGCCTCAGTTTCCTAATCTGCCAAATGAGTGTGTTTGAATGAACGGTTCCTGAAGCCCGTTCATCTTCACCCCGTGTACAGTTAGCGTTCTTTCCTCGTCAAACATGGTAGATAACGCAAGGCGTCCTTTTTCTCTTTTATTTTCCACCCTGATCCCAGGATCATTCACCAGCTTTGAAGTTAAGAAATGGATGAATCCATTCACTGGCTCCTTTAATCTCCACCTCCCGCCTTTCCATTTTCATTATGAGACACATGTACGGCTTTAGGTGTCTGAATATCCTTACCATGCAAAGGTATTTCAGAACCTCTTTATATACACTATTACCCAGGACGATTTAGGGACTTAAAGTCTAAGACAAGCTTCATGACTGCAGACGGACATGCAGGAGATACAGAACGTAGAATTAAAACGTCAGGGCCCGTGTGGGCGGAGGTGTTTGCTGTACCTGTGTGACCAGGGAGCGTGCAGGGAGCACTGAAGTGCGTCTGAGGCACTGACTTGTTGGTGTTACTGGGTAGGAAGGTCTGCTGATAAACCGGGTCAGTGTTTACACCTTCGATGAGTCTCTGGGGCTGAATGTTTCCCCAAAAGGAGTCAAGTGTCAGGAAAGCCAGCATGTATGACTCACCACCCTAGCAAACTCAAACCATTTCTTTTTTGTTCTCAGATTCTCCAATTTAAGAAAGAAACACTGAGCTATCTGAAATTAGAAGTAGGCAGTATTCATATATTCATTGTTTCAGCAGACAACTATTAAGCACCAACTTTAAGATACTACCTGCTGTAAAGGGCACCAAGATGAGTAAGAAAATGCATTTTATAAAAGCCATGAAACATCTGTGAGCAATTAAAATACTAAATAGGATGGAAAGGGTGAAACCAAATATGATGTGAACTTCGACAAGGGGGCAACCACATTCATTTAGGGGTTTTAGAAAGCATGCTGGCTGAAGTGAGCTTTGACCCGGGCCGTGAAGTCAGGGTGGGGCTTAGAGAGACCTTACTGGAGGCCGGGTGGGTATGCCAAGATGAGATGCCCTCATGTCTTCCATTTAAGTGTCTTAGTGGAGGTGATATGAGGAAGATAATTGATCTGGAAGCTGCTTTTAATGTGAATTATGAATTCCCTTTATAACACGTCCTCGAAGGAACACATACACAGTGTTCAGAGACCCACAAAGTCAGGGCAGTCATTCTCCATTCCAGCTGCTTGTCTTCTGACTTCACATTCAAGCAGCTTTGAGATTAGGCTAAAAACTTTCAGTGTCCTCGTTGCTAAATATGTCTGTCTGCCAATGATTGGGAAGTGGAGAATAGGAGTAGTCATTTCAGAAATTATTGGCCAGAAGATGAGACTTCGGTGCCGCCCAGGAACCATCAGACCACACCAAGAGTGAGGTCTGCACTTTAAATGCGGGTGTCGTTTTGTGCTCGTCACCCCTGGATACTGTGTGAGAAATAAGGAACAGACCAAGGTCATTATCTGGTCATGAGAGCCAGAGAGTCCATCTGTAAAACCAGTCATTTTTATTTGTGTGTTTCCATTGCAGATTCCTTCTGTTACATGGCAGGAAGGGTGGGTAAACTTAGGGATAGCGAAGACAACACATTAATCAAGAGCCTTCCTCATTTCGCAGAACCTGTCCTCAGTAAGAGTAAGTGATTACGCAGTTTCTTCCCTTCCTGTAATTCATTTTCATGCTTGCTTGTGAACGGTGGTATGTAGCCTTAATAAGGAAGTCAGTAGATCATATTGATTTTGTCATTTTCTAGTAGGAGTAATTCATTAAGATGAAATATAAACTGGAGATTAAGAGACTTGCACTGTCAACAGTCCAGCACCTCCTGTTTCTAAGTCTTCTCTTTCGTTGGCCAAGTAATAGTGACGCCCAGGCCTTCCTTCCTGGTGATGATTCAAGCTTGAGAATCTTTATATAAAATGGCTGCTGAGAGACAATACAGGATGTAACTTCGTAGACATTGACAGCTTCCTTGTTACGTTAAAAAAAAATTAAGATACCAAGAAGGTTAGGAAGTCTCAGAGAAAAATTTTAAAGAAAAGAATAAATAATCATTTTTCTGCAGGTAGCAAGTCTTTCTCCGAGAGGATCTCTCTATAAAAACCCAAGCCCAGGGATTCTCAATTCTAGATGCACATTGGAATCACCCAGAGATCTTTTAAAAACTTTGGTGCCTGTTTCTACCTAAAACCATTGAAGCAAGATGCTCTAGGGGTTGGTGTCTCACATTCAGTATTTTTAAACAGTTCTCTGGGTGATTCTAAGGTCTAATCAGGGTGGAAAAACACTGCTTACCCAAGGAGTCGATTGTGTTACAGTGTCAGGAAGAGTGAAGGAAATGTTCCCCTGGCTCAGTGGTCTGGGTTAGTGATGGGGGCGTCACAACCAGCACAGATCCTTTTGGGAACAAAGAACAGGTAGCTCTTGAAAGATCTTACATTTTCTTTTTAATAACTACCCGTAATATTATGTTTAACAAAAATAATAAATTGACTTATAAGTAAAGTTTAAATCATGTGTGTGATCTGTTTTGTGTTGGTTTTATTTGGGAGGAAGATGTCTATCCTGACCACAGCCTAAAGGCCTTTAAAGCAGATATTTCCAACTTAGCAGATATTCAGCCCCTCATAATGCTCCACTTATTTCAAGCAATTCTTCATAAAACACAATTTCACTATAAAAAATTAGGATAAGCTTTTGGACTTTATGACACCAGCATTTTAAAGTCGTGTTCTTGTTGGAATCAAAACATGAATGTTTATGTCTGTTTTACAAAGATGTTCGGGGGACACTGGGGAGGAAAACTGGCCATCTCGTTCCACCTTGCTTACTGGGAAGTCTGGATCTAAGCAACGTTTATCATAAAAGAAGGGAAAGATTGCAGAAGCCTGGTGATGGAAGTTGGTCATGGAAAAAGGACGAAAAGAAGCTTCTCACACTTACAGACGGTCGGGGGCAGACGCCATGACAGTCGGCCGTGTTTCCAGGAGCTGTTACGTGCGAGGCAGCGCCGCGGCAAGTGGCCAAGACTAGGGCCAAAGGCCACGGGACGTGTGGGATCGGGGCTGAGATGCTCGGCTGTGAGGTGAGGCGGTGAGAGCCGCCAGTGTAAGCATTTCTTTCAAGAAAAAATGGCCACAAATGAGAGACGAGGGAAGTAGTGGCTGGAGAGAGGCTTATGGTGGAAGAAGACATGTAAATTGAGGGTCAGCTTTCTGACTTGAAGACCATGTAGATGGTGGGGCCGTAACAGAGATTAGGGAACAGAGCCAAGAGTTTGGAGGGCTGTGAGAAAGTCGGCAGCAGCCAGGGCACCGCTGCCCCCGCGGGCAGAGCTCCTTTGGATGGCGCCCACCACAGCTCTCTCCTCCTGCCGTTCAGAAGCTTGGCTGAGCTGTGGAGACCGAGCACCCCGCCCCGGGACCCTTGGCTGGTTAGCAGAGAGATTATGCCTGAGGAAGAGATAGTCGGCACCCTGCTAAGGGAAGTCAGCTGGTGCTCTGGAAAAGAATTACCAGTGAAGCATACATTACTCTAAAAAGCAGGTGGGGCAAGACCAGACAGGGAGAAGTAAGCTAATTCTGCCTGATCATGAGCTTGGAGCGGGAACTGAAAATCCGAGATGTGGAAGGGTTGTCAGGTCAGGACGCAGAGCAGGATGTGGCTGCTTTGGGTTCGTTCACAAGCAAATCTGCATTGAGCAGCTAGACCGTACCAGCCCCTGGTCTCCGCGCTGGAGATGCGCACACCTGAGAAACCTACCTGCAGCTGAGGACTGAGGATGAGCGACCCAGAGTTAAGTGGGTCTGAAAGTAGTTCCTGGGACAGGTCTCTACCGAAGGCATTTCGGCTGTTCTCCGCATCTCGGCCATGTACCTTATTTCTCCGTCCTTTCACCCTTTGACGACCCCCCCTTCTCATTCTTTTTTTCTACTTTCAGATGTCGGATAGGGTTGACTGGTTACAAAGCCAAAACGGAGTATGCAAAGTTGATGTCTATTCACCTGGAGACAGCCAACCCCAAGACTGGAAAACGGTAAGGGCCAGCCTCCGTGTGAGTACTGAGTTAGGACCGTGTAGAGCACCGGTAAGAGTCGCCTTATTCTCTGCACCACCGCCACCCGCCTCTGATTTTTGAAGATGGGATTCTTGGGGTGGGGGGAAGAATGAGCTCCTTTAGGGAAAAAAAAAAACTTCCATCTATGATTTTGAGGGGGGAAGTCCTGTAATTGGTGTATAATTGGAGGGAAATGCTACAATTAGTGAAAAAGCTATGTATGAGAGCTGTCAAACTTTAGCTTTCAAACAGAGATTCAAACAGAAATGTCCCCGAGTCCTCAAAAGGCCTTTTCTGAAACGTGAGGTGCCTCAAAACTCTCAGAACTGTAAACTCTCATCCCAGGGGAGGTGGTCGTTCTGCCTTCATCACTCAGCGAGCACTGATTAAATGCTTGCTTAGCATCGGGCACCGGCTGTCGGGGTCCAGCCAGAAGATGGAAACCTCGCCAGTCATTTCATATGAAAAGACTACTTCGTAAAAGGTGGTTAACTAGGCTGACCACCGAAAGCTGTGAGAGAGGACCCTAGGAGTCCCAGAAGTAGCAGGTGCAGAGAGAAGCTCCTACCGCCAGGCTGAGGGAGTGAACCGGGAAGAAACCAAGGACTCGCAGAGGCGCCCTCCGCCCCAACCAAGGCTCCTTCAGATGTCCGTGGAGGCAGCGCGGCTGCCGCAGGGCAGCGTCAGGCCGCCAGTGGTGCTGAAGACGCTGGCTGGCGGGCGCAGGTGGGCCAGAAGGGAGACCCCTCCCTCCTGTACGACCAGGCCTGTATCTCCCGTGCTGTCTGTCAGCAAAGCCGGTGCCCGCCGTCAGCGTAAAGGGTCCAGCGCCAGAGTCACCGAGCATGACAAGGAAGGGTGGACTTAGAGCTGAGAGGCCGTAACGGCTAACTGGCACAGGCACTGTGCTGAGCCGTAGGGTCAGAGATGAGACAGGGTTCTCTCCCTTTGGGGGTCTCACAGTCTGACAGAATCGCCATTGGCATCCTCATCCTAACACCTCCTGGCGCGTCCTGCCCCGTGGCCCATCCCCTGCTCGTCGGGAGCCTGTTTGGTCTGCCTTTACATGGCCAAGAGAGAAAACACTAACCAATCTACGTGAGGCACTAAGACACGTAGAAGCACCCGATTGCTGTGGAGTAAGTGCTAACCAAGACTGCTTCCACTAGAGCCTTTATTTACCTCTGCCCTTTCATCTAGAAAAGGAAAAGGCAGGTGGAGTTTTGATATTAAAATTAACAAAAATGTATTGACTTTTCAGTAAGTGAGAAGCACTCTGGGGGATGCAAAAAAGAACAAAATATTTTTTAAATTAAAATATAATTGATTTATACTGTGTTCGTTTCAAGTATATAGCAAATAATATATATAATTATACATACATAATATATGTTCTTTTTCAGATTCTTTTCCATTATAGGTTCTTATAAGACATTGAATTTATTCTCTGTGAAATACAATAGGTCCTTTTATTTATTTATTTTATGTATAGTCATGTGTATCTGCTAATCCCAAACTCCTAATTTATCCCTCCCCTGCTTTCCCTTTTGGTAACCGTAAGTTTGTTTCCTATGTCTGTGAGTCTATATCTATTTTATAGGTAAATTCATCTGTGTCATTTTTTTAGATTCCACATAAAAGTGATATTATATGATGTTTATCTTACTCTGACTTACTTCACTTAATATGATCAGCTTGAGTCCATCCATGTTGCTGCAAAATGACATTATTTTATTCTTTTTATGGCTGAGTAGTATTCCATTGTATATGTATATAACACATTTTCTTGATCCAGTCATCTGTCGATGGACACTTAGGTTGCTACCATGTCTTGGCTACTGTAAATAGTGCTGCTACATTGGGGTGCATGTATCTTTTCAAATTATAATTTCCTCTGGATGTATGCCCAGGAGTGGGATTGCTGGATCATATGGTAACTCTACTTTTAGTTTTTTAAGGAACCTCCATACTGTTTTCCATAGGGGCTGCACCAATTTACATTCCCACCAACTGTAGGAGGTTCCTTTTTCTCTACACCCTCTCCAGCATTTATTGTTTATAGACTTTTTGATGATGGCCATTCTGACTGGTGTGAGATACCTCATTGTAGTTTTGAATTGCATTTCTCTGATAATTAGCGATTCTGAGCATCTTTTCATGTGCCTGTTGGCCATCTGTGTGTCTTCTTTGGAGAGATATCTATTTAGATATTCTGCCCATTTTTTGATTAGGTCAATTTTTTTTTGATATTGAGCCATATGACCTAAGAACAAAACAATTTCTGCCCTCATAGACCTTAGCATTCATTTGGGAAAATAAAAAAATAAATATGTGAAAATACAAATAGAATTTAAAAGCTCTAAATAATTAGTGGACACTAATTAAAAGAAGTTCATGATAATTTGCCAAATGAATTTTCTAGACAATAGTTGCTGTAGATGTTTAAAGAACAGATCATTTCGAAGCGGGAGATGGTCAGGAAATTTTTATAAAGTGGGCTAGAGGTGAAGGGGAACAGGACAGCGGGGTTGTGTGTTGACTTAGCAGTAGGTCCTGCATCCGAGGACGACTGAGGAGAGAGCATTAAACCCCTTAAGCCTCCCCTTCAGGGCCGTGAAAAATGTCCCTGTTCTTAATTAGGAAAGATTCAGAAATAACTGGGCACCCACCTTCCCCAGCTGCTCAGGATACTAGTGCATAAAGAAAGGAAAGATAAGGACGCAGGAGAGCAGAAGGTTTGGAGGGGATGGGTGCGTGATTGTCGACTCCATGCATAGAAAAGGAAGCGGGGTTAGACTTTCTGGCAGTCACCTTGGCTTCATCGGCCACTTCTGCGAAGTTCTTCTGGATCGAGTGGAATAATGCACACAGGGTGCACACACTTTAGTGTAAGAAACACAGAATTAAAAACCGAAAATACACGAAGCTGCACAACCCTTTGGACTCCATCATTGAGTGCTATGCTGTGCTATGGGTTCTTTCCTTAATGTTCTGTGGAAAGAATTGAAATGGATGAAAGAATAAGCGCCACGCCTGCACCGCAATAAGACCTTCCTCTGGGTGTCACAGCCCAGTGATGCACACGTGCCTGCTTGCAAGTTGTGTGCCTGCCTGTAAAAGTAGGTAGTATTACGGAATAATTTTCAAACAAAGGGTAAAATGTTGATTTTTCTGATAAATCAGAAAAGATGTAGCTGTTTTTATTAAGCCAACATTATTAAACTAATCCTGCTTACCAAAAATGTACTTAAGTGAACTTAGGTTTCTCAAATATTTGAGTTAGGTTCTATAAGAATACTTTTTCCAATCAGAATAGAGATTCTTTTATTTAAGAGATGTTGGAGTCTAACTTATTACTACCACGTGGAGGTAGGAAGACATTACTACTTCCACTTAATGCCTTTCTGAACGGCAGACACATAATGATACAAACACTGATAAACAGCTTAGAGCCTCGATTCTAAACTTTTAGCCAGTAGATTCAAATGTCCAGTTTTCAACAACAACAACAAAAAAAACACAAGGCATATAAAGAAACAGGAAAGTATGGCCCATTCAAAGTAAAAAAAAAAAAACAAATTTTCAGTTATTGCTACCACCAATCATTATTGGCCATGGAAGAGCCAAAGTGGAAATGAAAGGCTAAGTTAGCAGAGAGGAAAGTTAAAACTAGAAAAATAGAACATCTGCAAAGCCCTGTTACCCCTTGGATCCACCTCTAGGGACCAGGAAAAGATGCAGCTGGCACACTGTTGTCGTGGTGACATCTCCCTCTGTTAGATGAATCTGTTGGACAGCTCAGCAAAGACTTCCAAACCAGTTAAAAGGTCATTTTCAGAGAAGGGTGAAGTAATGACTCTCATGTGTTTATAAAAATAAACTCATGGTAAAGATCTCATTGAACTCATTAACAAGAAGCTGGTGCAGTTCAAAGGAGAGTCAGAGGGAAAAAGGCACGTATGTAGATCAGAAATATGACGTGCAAATGGGGGCAAAGTGGGCCTTCCCCACGGTGGGAGAGGACGCCGGTTGAACTCTCCATGGTCACAGGTGATGTGTCTGGACAAGAATTACGTTGCATCGCTATTGGTTACCTACAGTTTACAGAGCTAGAACATAGCTCTGAGAGAATGAGGACCAGAACCCATGGAAGGGTGTGCCGTGCTTGGTTTTCTGCGAGGGCACAGAACTTCCTCACGGCATCTGTTATTCAAATGAGGAGAACCGTGTGGGGGACTCTGAGCCAAGCTCTGCGTCCCCTGGCAGCTTGCACCAGCCTGTAGGACCCAGCTGCTCTTCTCTTCCCAAGTCGTCTGAACGCGGCCGTGTGCCGCCGGGGCAGAGAGCCAGTTTGACAGCCTGAGCTGGACTTGAATACCAGCCCCCGCTGAGAGATGCTCGTAAACATTTAGCTTCTCTGAGCTTCAGTGTTCCCGCCCGTGAAGGTGTAAGAGTAACGCCCACCTCACAGGGTGGGCATGAGTGTGAAGTAAGTCACGCGTGGGGAGCACGTGACGACCGAACAGATAGTAGCCAGCAATCCATGACGCTCGGTAACTAAAATCACTGAATTACCCTTTAAAGATGGGCACTACTCGTGGTCATCCGCAGACACAGTTCAGTAATCACAGCGGCCCTTTGTATTTGACGGTAAACAGGACACTTTCACGTACATCCTCCCTTTAGCCTGTGTCCCAGCGGAGGCAGTGGATCCTCGCGCGTAGACAGGAGCAGGCACGTGTGCTTATTGCAGCTAGCGCCCACCAGAGGGCCTGCGTTCACGCAAAACCAACACGTGCTCCACGGATGTTAACGCCTCAGTCACATGGCAGCTTGCTGAGTCACGCCAGACAGCCCATTGGAAGCTGGCGAGCTTGTCAAGGTGGTGCTCGGGCAGCCTGGCAGAGTGGCTAACCGTCCACAACTGTCCCTGAATTTTCTAATTTTTTGAAAACTATCCTTGTAATAAGAGACCTAAATAACACAGATGAACCATGGGAAATAGCAGTTAATACCAATACATGAAAAAATCTGATTCCATACAAATGCTAGCTCTGCAGCTGATGACAGTCAGATCTGAGGCGCACGTGCTGTAAGAGGCCATGCAAGGCGGTGGCCAAGGCCATGGGCTCTGGGGTCGGGCTGCCCGGGGCGGAACTGCCCCTCCACCAGTGACGGGCGGTGTAACCTCCGCTAAGTAACCGGCTTCGTCTCTCAGGTCTTCAGTTTCCTCTGCTGTAAAACATGGGGAACAGGGAGCTATCTTACGTTGACTGCAAGAATAATGTTAAATGAGGTAACGGTCTTAAAACACCTGAAGCAGCGCCTGGTACGTGGTGAGCGCTCGGTAAATGCCGGGTGCTTTTGTTGGGTGATGGCACAATTGAGAGTTGAGAGAGGCGACCGTTTTTGTAGCTGGTCTGTGAGGTGGTCCTCGATATCCTGTGTCTTTACTTTGTTCTAGTTGGATGAATCCTTTTCTGTTTTTAAGGAAGCCTCAACTGACCCTATCAGGGTGCTCAGCTGGCTCCGCAGAGACCTGGAAAGAAGCACAGCAGGCTTCCAGGATGCCAGGTTCAAGCCCAGAGAGTCATCCCAAGTTGGGGGGGAAGCGGTCAGCTCGGGAGACCCGAGCAAAGGCTTCTGTGTGGACTATTATGACACCGCCACCACGGGCGGCAGTCCCGGGAGACTGCATTTCGAGGTGACTCACAGGGAGAACCCCTACCCGGGCCCCAGCTCCCAGGCCGGTACTGGGAGCTCGGTGGACGAAGTTTCCTTCTACGCCAACCGCCTCACGAATCTCGTCATAGCCATGGCCCGCAAGGAGATCCACGAGCGGATCGACGGCGCCGAGAACACGTGTGTCCATCAGTCCGTGTACCTGGGAGACAAGCCCGCGCCCAACAAAAGCCTGAGCAAGGTGGCATCGGAGCTGGTAGACGAGACTGTCTCCTCGTGCTCCAAAGCCGCCGCGTCCGACAAGGCCCCGGGCTCTGGTGACAGGGCCGCGGGGTCACTGCAGAGCGGCCCGAACCTGAAATACAAAAGCAGCCTGAAGGTCAAGGAGAGCGCCAAGGGGGGCAGGGGCCCCGACGACAGGCCCCCTTCCAGCAGGTCCTTCTTCTACAAGGAGGTGTTTGAGTCTCGCAACGCAGGGGACGCCAGGGAGGGCGGGCAGGCCTTGCCTGCGGAGAGGAGGCTGCTCAGTGGGCAGGAGAGGCCCGACAACTTCACGGCGTCTGTCAGCCAAGGGATCATGACCTACGCTAACAGCGTGGTGTCAGACATGATGGTCTCCATCATGAAGACCCTGCGGATCCAGGTGAAGGACACCACCATCGCCACCATCCTGCTGAAGAAGGTTCTGATCGAGCACGCGAAGGAGGTGGTCTCAGACCTCATCGACTCCTTCATGAGGAACCTCCACAATGTCACGGGCACCCTCATGACCGACACAGAATTTGTCTCGGCGGTGAAGAGGAGTATCTTCTCTCACGGAAGCCAGAAGGCCACAGACATCATGGACGCCATGCTGGGTAAGCTCTACACGGTGATATTTGCCAGGAAACCTCCCGAGACTGTCAGGAAAAGCCAGGACAAGTCCGAGAGCTACTCCCTTGTCTCCACGAAGGGAGTGGGCGATTCTAAAAGCCGAAGCGTCAACTTTGCATCAGTGAGATCGGAAGCTAAACTGAGGGAAAAAGCATGCTCTGCTGCGCCCGAACCAGAGAAGGGGAAGACTTGTGCCGAAACTCTGGGCGAACACATCATCAAAGAGGGGCTGACCAAGTGGCACAAAAGTCAGCAGAAAGAAGGAAGATCCCCAGGTTTCCAACGTGCACCATTCGCAGCTCCCAACAAACAGTATAAGCCTGCACCGGACATTCCCCTGGGATTTCCTTTCGACCCTTGCAACCTCAGCCCCCCGATGCATCACCCAGAGAAACCTGAGAATTTTATGAGTGATTCAGACTCCTGGGCCAAGGACCTGATCGTCTCTGCCTTACTTCTGATCCAGTACCACCTGGCCCAAGGGGGGAGCATGGATGCACAGAGCTTCCTTGAAGCTGCTGGCACCACCCACCTGCAGGCCAACAAGTCCCCCATAGTATCGGATGAGTGCAGCCTGAAATGTCCCCACCCGGGGGCTGACCAAGAAGCAGCAGAAAAGAAGGATCTAATGAGCGTTTTCTTCAACTTTATCCGGAACTTACTTGGGGAGACCATTTTCAAAAGCGACCGGAGCTCTGACCCCAGGTCAGCTAAGGAAGAAGACAGCCCCCAGCGCGAAAGGCCGGCAACCCCCTCTCCCATCAGACTGGGCGAGGGCAGCAAGCCTCGGGGTCCTTTGGCCGGGCTGACCAAGGTGGTTGCCAGCCAGCTAGATGGCCACATGACGGGTCAGATGGTAGAGCACCTGATGGATTCAGTGATGAAGCTGTGTCTCATCATTGCCCAGTCCTGTGACTCCTCGCTGGTGGAGCTGGGAGACGACAAGTCTGGGGACGCCAGCAGGCCAGCGTCAGCCTTCCAAGACACTTTATACGAGTGTTTGCCCAGCAAGGGCACAGGCACAGCGGAGACCTTCTTGCAGAATGCCTATCAAGCTATCCATAGTGAACTGCGAGGGGTATCAGGACAGACCCCTGAAGGGAGTGCGGCCCCCAAAGTGATCGTCAGCAATCAGAACCTAACGGATACGGTTCAGAACAAGCAGCTCCAAGCCGTACTTCAATGGGTAGCCGCCTCTGAGCTCAATGTCCCTATTTTATACTTTGCTGGTGACGATGAAGGAATCCAGCAGAAGGTAAGGAAGTGGAGTCGGAGGGGTTTGGAAAGATTTATGAAGGGTTAATTAGGGTTTTAAGTTCCATTTTCTCTCCGAGCCGAAGGCTAGCCACAAGAAGTATAGGATGGGGGCGGGCAGTAAGGATTTGAGGCTCATGTCTCATGGCAGAGATGATGGATAAAGTAAAATTAGATTTTTGCCCCAAAGGGGGCATAGCAAAGGGGGAAAAAAGACACAGACAAATATATGATTTGTCTCTTTTTTCTGCACACCTGTATGTGAATACACAGGTAAGGAAGCTCCAAGAGACTTGGCGAAAGAATCAGATGAAGGTCTGGGCTCAGGCTGAATTCTGGATGGGACAGCCCTGCCCAGAGAAGAGGGAGCCAAAGGGACACATCCCGGAGGTGGGCTGAGGGGGTAAGGGGTGACGGATCTAGGTTTCTGGACTTTTCAGCCTGTCATTACTCCCTCAGCTGGTGGTCTGGGGGGGTCGGGGATTTGTAGGGATTCAACACGCAACACCCCTCTTCCCCTCCCCCTAAGCTCTGGATCAGTTGCGAAGTAAGGCTGAAGGTGGGGGACACACTTGTTACTGCAGTGCCGGTGAAGGTAAGGGCGCTTCTGGCCCCCTTCTTCCCCCAGCGTAGGCCTTGGCAACTGCTCCCTGGAGGGAGATTCTGAGCCTGGAAAGCTTCTGTGTATGCAGCCGCTGCTGCTGCTTGCTCGTGTGGGGCTATTGAGAGAGACACCCCCCACACAAACACACACACTTGGGGCTTTGATTATTCCCTCTTAATCGAGCAGAGCGGAGCACTGGCATTTGCCAGCTAAGCAGAAGGGCCGGCGCGAGAGGCTGGCATTAGCTGTGAAAAGCCTCATCCCCTTAGATGGTGACGGAGGAGGAGGCTTTCTCTGTTCAGTGAGTGGTATCGGCAACCCCGTACCTGACTTCCCTGGGTTGCCTGACGCCTGGGAGGACGCAGGACTGCGTAACATCCAGCCTAGGCTGCGCTGGGCGCAAACGAGAACCTGGGCCATGGACAGGCTCGCCACCCTGCGGTCTCTGGACCAGCAGCGCTGGCGTCTCCCGGGGGCTCGTGACCAGTGCAGGGTCTCAGGCTGCACGACTGACCTGCTGAACCCGGCTTCGCTTTAGCCAACCCCCCAGGTGATTTGTGTGCAAGTTCCAGTCTGGGCCGGAGGACGGAGCACGGGGCTCCAACCCTGGACACGTCTCTAAGAGTCCTTGGCAAGTTCTGTCTCTGCGTTTTTTTCCACTCTGTAAAACAGACAGCTGTTTTGGCACGTAGCAATTAGCAGAGAGGCTTGTATTCACAAACGCTTTAGACTGACGGAAAAACCTGAAAAGCACGGCTTTCATGTGCCATGTGTGAAGCGGGCTTTGCTCTCACATCATCTTTTAAGTCAACCCCATCGTGCATAACGTACATAATGTGTTTTGGTTTTAGATTACCAACGTAAAGATAAAGACTGTCACCTATTTTCTTAAAGGAAAAGAGTGAAAAGGATGGGCAGTAACACACCCAGACTTCAGCTCACGAGTAGGTTTGCACAGAGCATCCGTGTATTTTTAAGAACAGTTAGATGAAGTATACATCAAAGAAACTACCTAAAAGTGAGTGGAGTTTTTTTTTTGGAAAGAGATTGATGATGTGTGCAGATATTTTCATGCAGATGCAGGTGGCTGATGCTGGTGACGCTGGGATGCCCATGAGCCCAATTCCTTTAAATACATTTGTATCCGTTTTTGAATAGGGAATGTGTGCATAATTCAAAATCCAAGGCACAAAAAAAGATACATATTGAAAATTAAGGGCTTTTCCCCATCTTGATCTCCTGTCCCATTGCCCTCCCTGGAGATAGCATTTGCTGAGCATAGAATTCTGGTTTGACAGTTCTTTTCGTTTAGTGCTTAAAGAAATGTTGTTGCACCTCCTCTGTGCTGTGTGGCTTCTGATGAGAAATCTGCTGTCATTCAAACTGTTGCTCCCTTACAATGTGACATTTTTTGCTGGTTGATTTTAGTTTTTTTTCTTTTTCTTTAGTTTTTAGCAATTTCATTATTACAGGTCTTGAAGTGAATTTCTTTCGCTTCATCTTATTTCAGGTTCACTGAGCTTCTTGACTTTGTCAGTTATGCCTTTTGGCAAACTGGGGGAGTTTTTCATCCATTATTTCCTCAAGTATGTTTTCTGCACCACCCTTTTTCTCTCTTCCTTCTGGGATTCTAATGACATGCATATAAAACCTTTTGGTATTGTCGCACAGGCCCTGAGCTCTGTTCATTTTCTCAACCTGTTTGAAAGAGGTTTGACCACTCTCTTCCGTTGTTCCGTGTGGTCAGTTTCTATTGCTCTGTCTGTCAATTTCCATTTGGTCCTTCTTTGTATCTTCTCTTTGCTGAGGCTGTCTTTCCATTTGTTTTAAGAGAATCCGTATGTACTTCTGTCTCTCGCATGGAATTTCCCCTGAAAAAGCTCCTGCTGTTTGGCCTGTTTATCTGCCCTTTGACTTTTTCAGAGAGTCAAGCACAGAATGCACGAAATAAAAATCTGGTCAGTTTGTTGCCATAAGGATTCAGATGGATGGCAACGTACTGTGTTCACATTAGAATGGTTGCTTTGGCTAACTTTTCACATTTTGTGCTTGGAAAGAGAATTAAACACAGGGTTCAGAAACCTGGCTGTGAACATTCCTCTGCTGATTTCCAGCCCTGTGCTGCTGGCAGGTCTCTCCACCTCTCTGGGAAGCATGTTCACGAGGTTGAGTGGATCTTTTGAGTCGCCCTCTGCTCTGACGTTCCAGGGCTCCCTGTCTACAGGGCGGGGAGAGCACCCACACTTGTCCGTTGGCTGTCTCCCTCCTGCCCTTGTTAGTCGTGGGACAGAGGTGGAGACTGTTTCATGATATTACAGTGAACTTAAGAACTTTGGAGTCCTTACAGGACAAGAACAACACTGACAGACATCCATCGAAGCACGAAGATTTTAGTCTCAGGAGGAAACTACATTTTCTGTATCACGGACAGGTGGATGTCATTTAAATTAAGGACAACGTAACCAACTTTCTTCTGTCAAGCAGGCCAGCCAGCATCACAGCTGTGGAAGTCTTTTCAGCGGCTAACTTGAGTCCTTCCTGCTGCAAGGACTCTCCGCTCCCCCTTGGCAGGCCCTTCCCACCCTCTGGGGATGCTCGCCCCTCCCCCCACCACGCTTCCTTTCCCCCTCAGCTCCTTCAGCTCTCAGCGGCCGCGGTGGACAAAGGGCGCAGCGTAGGCGAGGTGCTGCAGTCGGTGCTGCGCTACGAGAAGGAGCGGCAGCTGGACGAGGCGGTGGGCAACGTCACCCGGCTGCAGCTGCTGGACTGGCTGATGGTGAACCTGTGACCCGCCGGGGCCCGGCCTGTCCTCCCTCCTCACCCACACAGAGCCCTAACGTTACCTTCATTCCACTCACATCAAAGACACGTCACCTGATGCTAGTCCCTGGATTTTGCAGATTTTCCTGTCCATGCGAGCAAGGACATAAAATAAAAAATTACAGTTAAAGGGCTCCAGGTATGTGGCTTCCTTGGGAGGCAATGGGACAGTCAGGTGAGGCGATCGCAGGAATACAGACTGACTGAGGGCCCCGCGGGGTACCTGGGGATTCCCCTCTGTCCCTGCAGCTTCCCCACTTTAGGACGTTCCCCAAAATAAGCCAGAGTTTGTCAAGAATTCATTTCAGCCCTTTATAGCCGTGTAAGTCAGGACGTATTTTCCAACGTCCAGCCCAAATCCAGTTATGCCACCAGGACCTGGCTCCTTGTCTGCCTCAGCTTTGTCTGTGGCTGAAGACAGTGTCAGAAAAGGTCCAGGAAATCCAAGTTCTGTTGTCTGTTCTGTACGTTTCTGGCTGTAGGACCTGGGACAAGTCGTCTGTTACGACATTGCTCTGACTTCATGTCCTCATCACCCCCCTTCAGGAGCATTTTCTGTTCTGATCCTCACCTTCCTGTGGAATTCTGTATTCTCCATCCTTCCTTCTAGAAACTTCCTCCTCCTCCTCAGGTTTCTAGTTTTCCTGTCTTTCTACGGCTCCTGGGGGCTCTCCTCAGCTTTGTCAGCCCTGTAGGTGTTTCTCTTCCCTAGGACTCTGTCTTGCCCTCCTGCAGTTCCCACTCCAGCATCTTCCCTGGGCGATCCCATCCAACCCCACAGCTTCGATTACCTGGTGTCTCCCTTCATGGAATATTACACAGTGATTAAAATGAAAACCAGGAAGCCAGGGACATAGCCCATGGTTACGATGTTCTGACCTTGAGTTTCTTGTAAACATTTATCTGTGCTATAATTACAACCACACACAGACTGTAGTCACATAGGTGAGGACTAGAAGGGCAAAAAGGGACTTGATTAGGTTTTCGAGGTGGTGGATGGGTAGACATGTCCTGTAGCTTGCTTGTCTTCCGTCCTTTGGGAAACTCGCTGTCCCCTGCTCCACAAAGTCCCAGAGAAGCATCATCATGGCATTACCACCACCACACCACACCGTGGACTTATGACCCAGGCTGGCCGATCTGAGGATCCCAATATCTCAGACACTGTGATGGGCTCAAGACCAGTCATTTCTGAGGCTGTCCTGCCAGCAGGAAGACTGCCCCTTCTGACTGGACAGTAGTGGGCGTCTTAACTTCTGGGCAGAGCTTGTCTTCAGAATGAAGTTAACCATAAAAAGCAGCAAGA